ACTCGGTGGTGGCTTCGTCTCGTTCTGTGGTGCACAAAAGAAGTCAGTAAGAATTGGTACATAAATTCACCACATTTACTAAATAACAGAAGCACTGTGAGTTTTCTACTAGCTTCAGCTCCGGGTGTTTGTGTCACCTCTCAGTAACCAGATGCATGTTTACACTTGAGATATTCAGCTTGTAGTGGCTTGGTGTGTATGTCAGATAACACACGCCGCATCAGCACAGTGAATCTGGAGACAACATCGCAGTGATACTGCTGGACCTCACACACACTGCTGCTGGAGGAAGAGATATTACTCAGTATCTGATCCTTATCCATCATAGTCATTGTGCGGAAAAATGCACACTGCCTGACAGGAGAACTGACAGAGAGGGATGTCTCCAGGTACTGTGTTTTCATCCATTCATCAAGATAGCCTCTGCATTACTAAAGACACAAAGTCCAACATACTGTGAGATGCTCCAGGAATGTGCACTCCTTGAGCTGAGGTCTAGCTTTGTTATATTCTGAACAGAAATTACAATTAGGAAATAATTTGTAATCAGAAATGAGAACAAAAAACATTAAATCAAACCTTTGTCATCCCCAGTCTATATACATAGTACCTTTATGGTGGAAAGACGGTAAGTAAGTTAATGTTAAGTGGAAGACAGTGAATTAAAAATTACTGTTTCTGGGGTGAAGAATGACCTGTGAGTTTTTATGGCTGTACATGAATTTAAAATGTTCTAGATGTCTTGTCAGTAATTTTATTTATTTATTTTAATTAATCTGTAGGGGACCATGTACAATATTAAACACAAATGTTAAAATTGTATGTATATCAGAGGTATAGATAATCATCTGCAGTCCCCTGGCAAGTTATATACATTTCCCCAAAGTTGAACGGGACATATTTGGTATTTTTGGAAACTTTTGGATCTCTTAATAACATGAGTTTAAAATGACGACTATATATTGCTACCATCAGACGAAGATAAAATACGAGTTAGGATGCTTTAAAGGGCAAGTTTTGAATGGATGAGAGAATATTAAAGACGTGTATTAGTGCACAGCAGTGGGTTTTATATTCCCTGTGTAAACCAACAACCAATACGAACAGTGCACTTACCTACACACGACCTCTTGTCAGGCTGCAGGGTGTACCTGATGTGACACCTGCATATGGGGCCGTTATCCGTGTCCTCGCATGTGTGCTGGCACCCTCCGTTGCCGTGGTTACAAGTTACTGCAGGGTCAACAACACGCAACCATGAGACATTAAATCAGTGCGACATCTGAAGCTGTGAACTTTGGTGCGTGACTTAGGTAGGTGTGTAGTGCGAAGTTAGCTTCATGTCGTTGAGCACGTACAGATGCAGCCTCGCTGGTTCCTGGCCAGCTCGAACCCTGGACGACACTCACAGGCCACACCCCCTTTGGGTGTCTCTTTGCAGATGTGGGCGCAGCCGTGCTCCTTATTCATACAGTTGAGGCCCTCTGGGATAGAAAGAGGGCGAGAGGTACACAATGAAACTCTCCTACAGTGACTGGCCGGCTACACACAAAGGCACACACACTGAGAGATTAGTCTGGCATCCTCAAAGACACTGATTGTTCTCACGCCTTACACAATCCAAAAACATCAGGCCCTGCGTTATTTTTAGCACTTCTGGCGAGGAAAAGAGATTCTATGAGCAGAGCAAAAGTTGCTCAAAAGTTCATTCCCCTGAAAAACAAAGCTCAAACAAAACTCTTCTAGTATCTACAACATACTGAATAATGCTTCCGGCTGAAAAATGAGATGAGATGAAGCACCATTTATATATACAGCTGAGTGGGTAAGCCCATAGGATTTAAAATGGATGTCTCGAGGGAGTGGAGAACAACTTTCATTTAAGTTGACTTCAGTCAAGAAGACAAAACAAAGGCACTTCAGACTAATCTGTGACACAGGCCACATATGCCCTGAGTGTTGCAGTTATTAACTCATTTTGTTCTCTGGGACACAGAGATCCTTTTCCCACAGCATGTTGCTGCTGTAGATAAAAGCTCAGTGACGGGAGCCAGCTTGAACCTGTCACCCCTCATTGTGCCGTCAATCTTAGATTTGTATGTGAATATTGGAGGATTGGCTCTTTTTTTTTCACGGCTTAATACAAACAGCAGATACAAGCAAGCACAAATACATGCACAAATGACACAAACTCAAAAACTCTTTAGTAAAATTTCACTTCCCCCGACATTTTAAACCACATTTAAATTTGTGGGAGTGCTACAAAATAGCTCCAATAACTCTGAAATGTACTTAGGTGCAGTACATCTGTGTGGCCGAGCTAACAGATGCTGGCACGGCTGCTGTGTGCAGAAAAGTGTGCGTGTTGTTGTACACTCACCCACAGAGCGGTGGATGCATGTGTGCTGGTTGTCGCTGAGGAAGAAGCCCTCTTTGCAGCGGCACTCATAGCTGCCCATAGTGTTGACACAAGTGTGTTGGCACCCACCATTGTTGAACTTGCATTCATCCACATCTAAAAGACAGCGGATTGATTGCATTAATTAACAGTGTCGACAAAACTCTGGAAAAAGTATCCTATGTGACAGTCGCAGATTGGGTTTATCTTAAATAAATCAAATAAGGCTGTTTTGTTCAGTTTTTATACACACCAGACGTGAAAATAAAGCTTCTTCAACTCAAATTTCAGACAAAAATATTTGCAAATCTTTTAAATCACCGCATGAACAAAAGCAAAACTGTTTGTATAAGGCTACATTATAAGAATTTACTGAGGATGGCTCAAGAAAAGAAGTCAGAGTGCGTGTGAGGAACTTCACAAACAGCCCACACACACATGAACTCTTCACCATCAGAGCAGATGATTCAGGCTCTCAGGCTATCACAACATGTTACGTACTTAAAGCGGATTAAAACTGATCTTACCTAGACAGTTGTGCCCATCGTGTGCCAGATTGAATCCGTCATAACAAGTGCAGCGATAATTGCCTGGTATATTGTTGCACTCATGTACACAGCCACCATTGTACTCCAAGTCGCATTCATCAATGTCTGAGAAGTAAACACCACATAAATGAATGTTTCACCTCATTTTGTTCTCGAACAGTAAGCACAAGAACTTGAGTGAGTGTCTATTTTAGAGGGAGAATAAATACAGATATCACAGATTGCATGCCACTATTGGAGTGCAGAAATGATGCCACAATTGAATGTTATGATATGGTAATCACAAACAATTAGTATTACAGACATATAACCAATCCAATCCCCCCCACTGGTTTTTGGTCACCAGATATGAATGTGAACAGCTCAACAAAATGAAGACACGTTACCTTCGCAGTGTTTTCCATCTCCTTTAAAGCCTGCTTTGCACGTGCACTTGTAGGAGCCTTGGGTAGTCTGACAAATAGCATCAATGTGACAGCCATCACTTCCCTCTGCACATGGATCTGCTGAAATCCATATGGGTCTTATAGGTCATGATTACCAAAACACATTCAGATAGTCTAATAAGTCAAATTGTATTTTACCATATTGTGTGAGAATATACTAAAGAAGACAAGCAAGAAGATTTAACTTGACAAACACTCAACTATAAACTTCCATAATAATAATAGTAGCACATAGCTGGAAATGTTTATAAAACTCCAGTGAAAACTGCCCTGAAATAGCACTAATTAATAGGTTTATACAAAACAAAACCTGTTTTACAAACTTATGTGCATATGGGAGCACACACATTCCCACAGCAATTTTATAATACAGCTACACAGTTAGAACCTAAAAGGAAACTTAAAAGTCACCACTGGGGTCACAACAAGAGCGCACTCCTGAAAGCGTGCGTAAAGTATCACTCTCCACGACTGGAAAACACAACACACTCTCACACACACACACACACACATGCACACACACTCACTACAGTCCCACCTCGAATCTCTGGAAGCGCTGCGCTTTGGCGACTATTTAACAAGAGCAAAAACAAACAAAAGTCCCTTGCAGCCCAAATAGCTCCCATGGTGATATGATCCAAGTTTAGAGGTCTTCTCAAAAGGACGCGTACGCACTGAAGTCGTGACCGAGCGTCCGCCTCATTTTCATTCTAGCCTGTCAATCTGTTTCACAAGGGGCTTTTGAAAAGAGAAAGGAGTGAGTGAGTAAGTGTGTGTGTGTGTGTGTGTGTGTGTGTGTGTTTGAGAGAGGGCGCGAATGAGAGCGTGCGTGCGCGTACACGGGTGACGCTTTTGAAGCAGAGTCAAGTCTGTGCGATAGGCAGCGCAAAACCGGAAGTACCGGGGCTTTGCGTAAAACGTTCCAACGTCACTTCGCTTGGAGGAGCTTTTATTTTGAAAGCTGCGACCGGAAACCCGTTGCTAAACTTCACGACTTGAGTTCTTTTAAAGCCTCCACTCTGGAAACATGGCCTTTTGGCGTCGGTTTTAAAGACGACCACGGCAAACTTCTGCGATAAAAAAGACCGAAAACACATAATATACAACCACATATGTCGTCAACGACGGCTGCCTAGCTATCTTAGCGCTTACTGACTAGCCCTGGAAGAAGAGTACCGTTAGCCAAACAACGAGGTTGCTAGGCAACACACGTTTATCGCTTCTAATTTAACTGCAACGGCTTCGTGTAACAGTTGGGACCTTCCATTTTATGATTATTGCGTTAGCTATATAATGTTAAACTACGGCGCAAGATGAAAAGTACCGCACTAAATACAAATAAAAAAGGCCTCTAACGTTAAACACAAATTAAGCTTCGTCCCCTTGAGGTTTTATTTTTGTAACCTTTTCAATTAAATCCTTGTTTTCCCTTAAAACCTATTACTAGACAATGAAAGGTATCTGCCCCAATATAAGTTGTACTGGCACACAGAGAAAGCTCAAATAAGCCAACTCTTCCAAACTATTGTGGCTCATTAAAAACCATCTTCTAAGCAGCTTTAGTGCACCACCTACTGGTGTACAGGAAAATAACAAGCACACTTTTGATTTCTTTCATTTTTTTTTATTACAATACTGATCTACTTTGTGGTACAGTATACAAAAAAAGCATTAAAAAAAAGATCTAACGTTACATTGCATGTTCAAAGGAAGTGCACAAAATAATAACAGACTTTCTGAATGGCTCTACACCAAGTATCAAAAATTCAGTTAAGAAAAAATAGTTTTGCAATAAATAAATATAAATTACATGATAATCATAATGAAAAGGTCAGGTAATTCATTAAGGCACATCCCACATCCCAAAATGTACCTTGCAAAAACAATATGGCAACTCCCTAAGTACAAAAACAAGCTTATTTCCCAGCTTAAAAGGGAGCAGCATTTCTCCTTTTAATAAGAATCATAAAACATGTTCAGCATTTAACTACCCTGCCGCAGAAAAGTTTATATATTAAGCAACTTTACAGAGCATTGCCTGTCAATTCATGAAGTTTGAGATTGGTTGCAAAATTGCAAAACAAAAAACAACAAACGTCACTGCAGTATTAATTTGAGAAACAGTATGCACCGCGGTTAAACTGTACAATCTGAGCATAATTTTAACATGACATACATAAGACATATCTTGAGACATTAATGAATTGTGATTAGCAAAGTGTAAAATTATTGCTGAAATAATGGATGCTTTTAACAAGCCAATTTGGTTGAATAAGGATCCATCACTTTACACTTTATCGGCGAAAGTGACAGAGAACCCCCAGAGCACGTCTCACATTCAAAATGTCTGCATAGTTTGAACTTTGACAAATTGCTTCTGAAGATAAATTGCAGCAATGACAATCACAAACACATTTTCGTGGCAAAAACGTAGAGTAACCGTTAATCTTCTGATCACTGCACGCCCTTAGCAATCAAATAGATAAGGGATATTGCAGCTCACTGATGCAGCAATTAGGCATCCAGCTTTCCCTGCAGTTTACAAATATTTCTGAACAGAGGCTACAGTTTTGCGCACCTGTAGAGAAATGCGTATGAGAAAATCAGATGTCAAAGTGTGCTAAAATTTATCAACTGGCTTAGCGTAAAAGTACAGCACCTTTCAGACACGCAAATACATTTTTTTTTTTTTAACAGAAGTAGTGGTTTGCCATTCTGTAATCTAAAAAGGTTTGGATATACCAAGAGCCAAAACATTGTGTATTTACAAAAATCAATTTTAAAACATTTGCTTTACAACATGCATCGTCATTTCATTGGAGGCTGTACAAAAAGAAATAAATAAATCACTTGTCATTCCAAAAGGCAGGGGAATGTACGGCATGCATTGAGTGTTTCAAACTTGTGGCATGCTTAAGCTGTGAAAATGTCGAGAGATTATTCGTTCTCATCCATACACACATTAAAAGCTCGAGAGAACAGTTGTACTAAAGATCCCTGGTGTAACCGACAGCCATTTGTGTACTAAAAAATCCTACAGACTCACGCATTTGCACATATGGAGCAAACAGTTAAGACAAAACATTGCAGCGACGCGTTGAAGAGCCACTCACACACACACACACACAAAAAAAGCTGGTATTAGAAATAGCTGGTGTCTTTCATATGCAAACATAGAAACAAATCCTGAAAAAAAATTTGAACAGTCTTGATATGTACGAAAAGGTAACAAAATATTTACAAAACGTTGATCACTTAATACAAAATTACCAAAAAATAAATCAGAAACGGAGCCTCAACAAAATTTTCTTCCTCATCCTATAAATAACACTAATGCCCATTATGTTTTTTTTTTCTTTTTGCTTTCTATAAAAAAAGAAAATCAACTCTATACAAAAGTTAAAAAATACCCGAATAAAAAGGGAATATTACATAGAAAAGAAACATCTAACTAACAGATATAATTGGAGGAGTGGAAATTTGGAGGTCTGCCACTGGAGACAAATCCAGGCGAATGCCGTGGATAACCCTACAGGGGGATTCAACGAAAGCCATCACCAGGTTTCTTTCACGTCTTCTGGGAGCTGTGGAGGAAGTGCGTCTGGTAGGTGTGCGGCCACTTGCGTGGACACCAGTGTCTTCTGTTTTTTGGAACTGCAGCAGGGCTTAAAGAGTCGAGGGTCAATAATCACCTCTCCAAACCGCCCCTTATAGACAATCCCACAGCACACCTTTTGTCTAAAGGAGGAGGGAAAAAAACAGATTAAAAATCACCTATTTGGTTATTTATCGTATTGAAAAGACACAGAAATAATCTTTTTCCTGTCACATGGTCAAACACAAAGCTGCACTACTAGAGAACTAAAGCTTGCCTCTTCCAGTATGAACGGTCCAAGAAAGAAAAGATGGAGGGAGTCGAACGTCTTTGTTTGGACTCGATGTCTGAGCCATCATCTGACTGGTTGCTGTAACTGGGGGACTGTGCAGGAGACACGCTGGAGGTTGTGCTGTGGGCATCTGAGTCTGCTTGGAAAACAAAAGAAAACACTTAAATGTTGTCATCAACTTGATTTGGTAAACGTCTAATAATAGCTGACTGAAGTTTTAATAGTTTCAATTTTGATGTATTATTAGGCACTAAAGTGACAAGATTCCCAACAGTCTCAATGTTTTTGGAAGTTTAGCTTTGAATAAATACAAAGTAGAATGAAATTAGGTCAACAAACACAAAAGGCCATAACTACCAATTATGTTTATTATTGTTTAATCTGATGATTTTCCCCCAAGAACTGTTAGGTCTATAAATGTCATGAAATTGTGAAAATGCCCGTAGCAATAAAGCTCACATTCACATATTTAAACTTCTTGTTGTCTGAATAACAATCCCAAACGCACGTGTTCAGTTTATGATCAGACTGAGAAACTCAAATATTCACATTAGAGAGGCTGAGAGGGCTGCAACTAATGAGTATTTTCATTATTAATTAATCTATCGACCATTTTCTCAATTAACCCATTCGTTGTTTGGTCTATATAAAGAGGTCAGAAAAGAGTGGAAAACGTTGATTACTGTTTCCAAAAGCAACGTCATCAAATGTCTTGTTTTGTCCACAACCCAAAGGTATTCAGTTTACGCTCACAGAGGACTAAAGAACCCGGAAAATATTCACATTTGAGGAACTGAAATTGCAATTAATTCAACAGTTAACAACTAATCGCTTAATTGTTGCAGCTCTGTCATTTTTCCTTTAAATAAAAAATGATGTGTATACGTTTAAGCCCCAATATGAACCTTTAAAACACCGCAGTCATACAGCGCGTGCCCTAACCAAAGGAGCCACAAGATGCTGCTAAGTGGTCATTTTTAATCAGGCTGTTAGTTTACTTTGAGAATAAAACCACATCAAACCCACGATTGGGTGCAACTGCGTGTATTTGTGTGATATGATGCACTTTTTCTTGTGCATTCACATATTTACTTTAAGTCAGCAACAAATACTTCTGGTTTCACTTGTTCCAAATCAAATATCTCAAAATTACTCGTCAATGTCTTTAAAACAACTTACTTTGTCTCTTTAACTTGTGAAGCTTCTTTAGCTTGCTTTTCTTCTTTCCATCACTGTTCTTGATCTTCTTGGGTTTCGTCACCTTGAAGCCTGGTCCAGCTCTGGCATCCACCACCTGAGTCAGGTCAGAAAGACAATTAATAAAAACCCTCCAACCTGATAAACAAGACGAATGATCCCCACCATTGTACTCAGACATCACTTACATGGTTCCAGTTCTTCTTGGAGCCATTGGGTAGCTTCTTCCACCTTTTCACCAGTAACACACAGGCATTGCAGATGTCTCCAACGCGATCTTCTGACAGCCTATAAAAGAAAAACAGAAATGAATGGCGCAAATAAACACGATGAGAAGTGCGACTGCTAAAAAGTTCAACTCCCTATTCACATGCACACGAGCAGAAAACACAGGTTAACACTATACACACGCACAATATGAATGAATGAGAAGCTTTTACCCAAAACAGAGCCTGAACGTCTCTTCATACCGACTGCTGTCTGTGAACCGAGAACTGGAGGACTTGGTTTTGCAGATGCAGCAGCCGTCGTTACTCCGGTAGATCTTTGACTTGTGAAAGCCAAACATAGTCTAGTTGTTGGTCAGTGTTGTGGACAAAAGAAAAACCTGAAAACACAAGAGAGAGATCGGTGAGTGTCCCCGTAACGAGCGGTGTGGATGTGTGCAGACAGTTGCGCTTTCTACTACAGAGAAGGGGGCGGTCCCTGCACGCACACACAGACACAAGCCAAGCCATCATTAAACCCTCATTTTAAACATATCCCGCGTGTAAATCCACCTGTTATGTAGTAATTAACTGCGAATAAAAGAGCACAAACGACGGAAACAGCACCACTAAGTTTGGTTAAGCAGCGGCAACCAAGTATGTTCGGGATTTAAAAAGCCAAGTCGCGGGAAACAGCGAAACACAACAAAAAGAAACAACAAAAAAAAACAACACAAACAAGGACGTTAAGACCCGCTGTTATTGGTTGCATTGTCAAAGAAAGTGAACACAATGAGCAGCTCGGTTACATTTTAAAAAA